GTCCTTAGACTGACCATTAACTCCCCACAGATGCAGCTCAAGTGCCTTGTTTACAGATCCCCTGCTCGCAGCACACTTTTCCTGACCGAGGGAGCAGTCCGTCTCCCACCATTACCACTCACTCAGGTAAGAAGTACTCTACATTAATTCTTTAATTTATACCTCGGGAACATCATATTCCTTCCTTGAAGCTTCCATACCCAGCGTACTGTCACTGTTATTTCAAAAATTTACAGTCCCATAAGCACTGTTCCCCTCCCCTCTCCCCCCAGAGGCCTTGCTGTGAGTGTAAAGGAGCTGTGGTGATGTCAGTACCTTGAAGTTCAAGGCAAACAAGGTGTTAGGTGACTATCTTAGGACAAAGGCATGTTCAGCAGCCACTAGGACTACAGTGCATAGCACCACAGTGCACTTAAGTAGTCATATGAAAAGGAGTATTGTTCTGGACGATGGTTGACCCTAAGGTAACCACTTCACTGGCAATGAATGTATAACCCAACCAAGAGAAAACTTCCAGCTCTTACTAGAGCATGCGCTGATATAGCCACATCTTGGACAACTGCAGCTAAACTTAAACCTCCAGATTAAAACTGCAGATTTTAACATTCAAGCCCTGATTACCATTGTCAAAAGACAGTAGAAGTTGAAATTTATTCTCACAAATGACTACCAAACCAGCAGATGCACTCAGGCTGCATAAAGTCACAAGTGGTCTTCGGTAAAAGTGTCGTTTCCAGTATAAAACAGTAATGCCATTTTTAACACAAAACTTACAGGTAAAGAGAAAATATCACATCTTAACAAAAAAGATTTATTCTGACTAAACAAAATGTACAATGTTTCCCAAATGACAGTGAGTTTTCATGACTCTGAAGTCTGCAGATCCACTGAGTAACTTGATCACTTCTTACCCTGCAGTTTGATCAAACTACTTTTTGCCAGACTTCTTTATTCCACCACTGGCTGCCAAAAGAAACAACACAACTGGTTAGACAACTGCTACAGAGCTTAGCTACAAATTTAGTTCCTCATAAATTCAAATCCCCACTAGACTGCCTGTACAACTCAGATCCCCACTCGTGAATTGGTTTTGCACATGTTACTTTTCTGTGTTTGTGATCTCACACACTTTACTCTCAATAACTTACTTAACAGTAGAAACCAAGTTTCTCCTGGAACCAAATATGCCCCATAAATCTACAGCAGAACTAAATATTTCAACAATTTCTTTGTTCTTCCATGGGACACCCTCCATTGTTTATTTCTTATACAGCAGGAGTATAGTCTGGTCAAATCAAATTCAAGGCTAAGGGAATGTAAAAGCATTGGTATCCTTACAGCAACCAGAGTCCCCGGTTGGGATCGAAGCATAACAGAAGCAGGTACTGGAATTACGAGAATTCCAGTTCTCTGGAATTACCTGTTCCCTGCAGTCCCTATTTTTGAAGAGACTAAAGCAGGGTGAAAGAACATAACATATCGGCACAACACCAAGTGCAGCATTTTTTTGAAAATGTTGGTTTTTACCACCTGTGTCATGTATGACCAGTGGAAAAAAAAAAAACCCAAAACACTAATAGCAAGGCTACAGCAAGATAAGCTGTAAGGGCTGATGGTCAACAACAAACTCTGCACTGCAATATGATTCTAACAGCGCTGCCTTGCTGAGGCTCTTGGGAATAGTCTAGCCCTCCCACAATAACTTAATAATCACTATCTGCTTTGGCAAGCATTGGACAAGGACCAGATAACTGAAATTCAGCCTAGGAAAAGGCACAGTAATAAAGGCAGGAAAGAACTATTAAGAAATTTGTAAGCTGAAGCGCCCTGTGCAGAACAAGTTTAGAATGTCAAGGACACAGAAGAGAGGCTCAGTGAATTGTTTTGCATCAGTTTGTAATGCCAAAGATATTCTGAGTCCCACACATGGCATGTTTTTTGTACACTGATAAATCAGAGGAGCTCAATCAATTTGAAATAAATAATCAAGAAATATTCCAAGTTAGTGGGACTGGATGGCACTCCCTCCAAGAGCGCTGACAAGCTCTAATGTGAAAATGCAGAACAGCTGGCTAAGATTTGAAACTTATTGTTACAGCCACTATGTCTGAGGACTCCGGCTGCCAGCAGAGATCCCAGGTACAGAAAGGATTCTCTAAAGAACTGGGGAACTACAGACCAGCAAGTCTGACCTTGATCTCTGAGAAGAGTCTGTAACAAAGAAAATGGATAAACTTGTGAAAGTCAACAGGACTTCTATAAATGTTAAATCCTTCCTCACTGACCTGCTGGAACTCTGAGGTTATCATTAAGTGTATGGATAAACTGAATCCAGGGAACTTCCCATTTTCAAATCGCTCCTGGCAAGATTCCATAGCAAAGGTTGTTAGTGAGACTCAGTTGCCATGGGATTGCTGGAAAGGTCTTTCTGGGACCTTTCAAGACTGAAAGCTTGCTAAAGAATAGGAAGCAAAATGTAAAGTTTAACGGTATTAACACAATGGAATATTGATTAGTCATATTAATGGACCACAGGTCAAAAACACCTAGAGGGAATAGGCAGGGTGCACCCTTTAACATTGCTAATCCAATCACTGCAGACACAGAGGAGTACAAGGAGTGCACAGACTCACACTGACACTAATTCCTGCTATCACTGAGACAAAGACCATCAACGGTCTCAGTGCACCACCACAATGCACCCTACAAACTTTCTGCTGTGACACAGTGTGCTTTACACTCACTTAGGCAAAAGGGTTGAAGCCAGACTAATTTCCAGCCACTTTTTTTTTTCCTGCCAGGAATCTACTGCTCTTGAAAAAATTCATCCTCTAAGAGGATTTATTGAACTTTGTAAAGCCTACACGTAACATATCTGGGAAGAAAAGGACAGTATGCTAAAATAAGAGTAGAAATATCTGTGTGCCATCCGACTGGAATAGCTTAGCATGCCAGGCACACTGTTTTACCTGCTAAGCCAAAACCTCCTTGAATAATTAGGGAATGAAATTGCATAGTGAATTTAAAAAAAAACCAAAACAAAACCAAACCCTCTTATTTGTTACTTATCATCTGCACCTGCCATTCAACTTACCAGTGTAGGTTAAATAACCTAGAGGTACATGCCTTTTTATGTTTGTCAAGCAAAAACATTAAATTTTTGAGGCCAGCAAGCCCTCCATTTTTGCTAGCCGTTTGGCACCTCACTTACTGAGGGGCCCTTTTCCAGCAGCCTTTGCTTTCATCTCCTCAAGTTTCTTTTGGTCCTCCTTCTGCTTTTGTTTAAATGCCAGATCTGTCTAAAGAGAAGAACAACAACAAGTTTTTGTTAACATCTCCTCCCCCCAAAAAATTCAAGAACAACTGACAAGCAACAAGAAATAAATGTAATTTTCTAACAGCAGTAAAAACCTGATGGAACTGATGCAAAATGGCTGAATACTACTAAATATGCAAAACCTTTTTTTGCTGTACCAGAACGCATTGACTGAAATTTAACTTTGTACATTTGATCTTTCTGAAATTAAACAAGTATCATTTCCTATGGCATAATCTCATTCTGCCCTCTGAATGATAGATGTTTGCACTCAAACCATTCATTAATATACCACTAGTGATACTGGGAGCCTCGTGCACAAGCACTTTCTAACAATAAAACTTGGATTATATAGGATGTAAGAAAAAAAGGTTGCTTTTACCTAAAAACAGGCATTCATTTCAAAGAAAACTTTCCACATACATGTGACTATTTCTTCAAAGTTTAATACATTTGTATTAGTTCCAGGAAATCTAACGAAACCACCGTCAAATTGTACAAGCAAGCCAGCTGTCGGGCATCCCTGCTAGAACAGCCTCCAGAATTCAAGAAAGCTCAGACTTATTCTGTCCCTTAGATACATATTCTTCACAGACATCAAGGCTGAAAGGGACCACAGGCATCTTCCCTGGCACTCAGGATTTTGGAGTAACTAAACTGAGGATGTAGACAATTGAGGTTATATAGATTCTTCACAAATCCAGTCCATGGCTCAACTACCCTTATAACTGCAAAGTTTTCCTCTTAAGTTAAAGCTTTCCTTGCTGCAGTGTAAGCCTATGACTTCCCCTACCTATCCCACACAGAATAGAATATTCTGTTTCTCTCTCCAGGTTTTCCACTGGGTGGTTTTTTTCCCTGTAGACTAATGTGTCTTTGTTGGTAAATCAATCCCTCCCATTTATGCACTTCTGTGGGTTTTTTTTCTCACAAAGTGTTGCCCCCAAGCACTTTCAGTATTGTAGTGCTGAGAGGATGCCCTGGTTTTAGCTGGAATAAAGTTAATCTTCCTCCCAGTACCTGGTAGAGTGCTGCGTTTTGGATTTAGGATGAGAATAACGTTGATAACAGGCTGATGTTTTAGTTGTTGCTAAGCAGTGTTTATACTAAGTCAAGGACTTTTCAGCTTTTCATGCTGCCCTGCCAGCAGAGGCTGAGGGGAGCACAAGAAGCTGGGAGGGGACACAGCCAGGACAGACAACCCAAATGAGCCAAATGGGTGTTCCAGACCAGATGTGACATCATGCCCAGTATATATACTGGGGCAAATTGGCCGGGAGGGCACCACAGCTCAGGGATCGGCTGGGCATTGGTCAGCAGGTGGTGAGCAATTGTATTGTGCATCACTTCTGCATATTCTATCTTTTTTCTCCTCCCCTCCCCTTCCTTTTCTGACCTTTTAAACTGCCTTTATCTCAACCCACAAGTTTTACTTTTTTTTTTTCCCCAAATTTTCTGCCCTATCCCACTGGGGGCGAGGGGAGTGAGCAAGCAGCTATGTGGTGCTTAATTACTGGCTGGGGTTGAACCACAACAGAGGAAAAGAAATATTATTACATCATGTTTGAGACACAGGATTCTGTATATACATCTTGTATGATTTACTTTTGCAACACCTGATTTTGCAGGTTCATGTTCAGTGTATGATCTAAGTCTCAAATCCTTTCAGGTGGACCTGGAGTTTAGCAGTTTAGCCAGTCATTCTCCTTGTATTTTTATAAGTTAGTCTTACCAAAGAAAGTGACTTAAGAGTACATGCTTAATTAATCAATTTTTTCAAACTTTCTCCAACTTGTTAAGATTACTTTGACTACTGGTCTTGTCCTCTGACAGTCTGTGGCCCTTCCAAACTTCTGTTTTCCACCAGAAGAATAAACCATACTGTCAGTCAACCAGCCAAATGAGGCACTAATCAAAATATCAAATACAAAATTTTGCAAAACCCCACTCCATATGTCATTGCAGTCACAGACTGAACTGTTAGTAACTGCTTTTAGAACGTGGCATTCCAGCAGGCTGTACGTTCACCTCCCATCACCTTATGGGTCCTGTTCCTGCCCTGCCCTGAGGACACCACCAGAGCCAGCATCGAGAACCTCACGTCTGCTGGTTTTCTCCTCACTGCCTGCTACAGACAGAACTGCTTTTGTTTGCCACAGCTGTACTAAAATCCATACTGGCTATTAATTTTTACATTATTATCACTTGGATCCTGTAGCACTTAATTGGTTCTACCATTTCTCTAAAAGACATTTATCTTATTCTAAAGCTTGTTTAGAAAACTCTGATTTTTTTTCCTCCTTTTTCAAAGAGACATGGTATTTATCTATATTATATATATATATTTATATGACTAGATGATCTTCAAGGTCTTTTCCAACCTAGATGATTCTGTTTTCAATCATTGGTGTCTCATCCATCCTCCACTATCCTCAGAAATAACAGCTTACGCCCATACTCTGAGCTTTTATGTTTAAGTATCTCTAAGACGATTCACTAGTACCTCGTTTGAGCTGTGTATTAATCCCCGCGTTTTGTGTCCTGTCCTAGGCTCCTGTGACCGCGTTAATTTGTTAGACCTCCCATCACAGCCTGCTGCCGTGGCGAGGACATTGCAGCCTTCTCCGTGGCATTGGACTCCTCCGTTAGCCAGCACTGCTGCGTTTACCCTGAACGCAGGCGGGATGTCAGCAGAAAAAAATAAACAAACCACCGGAAAACCGGGGCCGCGGAAAGCAGCGCGTCACCTCTTGGTCCGTGAGTTTTAACGTCAGAACGCTTGGCAAAACGTGACGTTTCACAAAATGTGTATTGCTATGGAAAGCTGAGCTGAGGGGGGGTAACGCGAAAGCGGAAAGCAGCCTTCCCCTCCCGCAGAGGCCGTGGCCCAGCCCGGTGCCGCGGGACCCCGGGGCTCGCCCGCCGCCCTACCTCATCCAGGTCCTTCGACTGTTTCTTCGGCTGCTTCAGCGGCTTCTTCTTGCCGCCTGTAAAGACAGAGGAGACAGTGAAGCCCAGGGAGGGAGGGAGGAGGGGCGGCGGGGGCCCCGGGCCCGGCCTTACCCTCTCGGCCCGACATGGTGCCCGCTCCGCTCCGCCGCGCCTCAGCCCCCGCGCGCGCACGCGGGCTCGCGCCGCCGGGCAGCCGCTTCCGCTTGTCCCCGCGCGGCCGCCGGTACCGCGGGGCCGCGCCGGGAG